ATTAAAAAAATGAAAACGATAAAAAAATTCTTAAATTTAAATAAAAAATAAATATTTTCAAAAACTATTAGCTACTGTTACTGAATGTCTTACATTAAATACAGATAAAGATAAAAAAAAATAATGCATACAATTTGTTTTATCACAGTTTAATAGCTGCTGGAGTGACATATATCATGGGTCAGAACGTGGGCACTTGTCAGATAAAACCGTTGAAACGTAACATGCAAAAGCCACCACCGTCGTCGTCGATGTCGTCGTCAACGACACCCAAAGACCTGCAAAAAGACTCGGCCGCTCAGCTGGGCCGGATGTATGTGTCTGAGGGGGTGAGCTTTTCGGGAGCCAACAAAGGCCTGTTCCTCGGCCTGCTGACGTTGGTCATGGTGATCGTGGTGGTCATCATATTTCTGGTGGTCAAGGACGACGCGGATTTTGCGTCCGACACCCTGTTCTGGATGACGTCCACCACGCTGGCCACAATACTCTCCACCGGCACGCTATTGGGCTGCGTGGGCCTCTACCAGGTCCGCAAGCTGTGCCACAACGGCAACCACCTGACGGCGTTGGACTCGATGCTGGCCACCGTGTCTGGCGCGGGCGTCATCCTGTACGCGTTGTTCAGCACCATGGTGGGCGCTGTTGGAGTGGCCACGTCACAGCCTGGCACCCCGGAACAGAAGGTGGACGCCATGCTGACCGTCGTCAACGTGCTGCAGCTGGTCCAAGTGGCCGTCCAGAGCTCACTCACGGCCGAGGCCTACAGAAGGAGCTCGTGGTCGAGGCATCAACTATTCACCAAACCTGGTCGTCAGGTAACCCCTATAACTTATAACCCTACAATTCTATAAATTATCAGGCAGTGGTCCTATATCAGAGGCAACGTTGGGGGGGAGGGGGGTGTACAATGGACTTTTTAAATTCGGCACCACCATTCTGCGTCTTATTATAGCATGCCCTAAAATATACTAACGCACTCCGATGGCTTATGTACCTAATACCTATAATATATAATTACCTATATAAAACTATAAAAGTTAAAATATATTTTGAAAACCATAGGTAAAGGTAACTCGTACAAAGAGTTAAAGAGGTAATGTTTATCTAATATCTATTATTCAAATTTTTTAATTCATTAAAACATTAAATATTTAACTTTTCAAACCCATACAACCATGAAGAAAAATTGACCTGCTTAAGTTTTGGCCCTATTAAAACCGTGACATAGCGCCATTGTCCAATATGCTCACCATAATCGTATCTATATAATATCCAATATAGTTTCCTATCAATATGCTTGGTCACAAAAAATCTGTCCATGTATATAGGCATGTACAATGTAGGTACCTAATTGATGTCATTATTACTATAATCGTTTTAATCAAAAACAAAAATTAATTAATTCACGAAACATAATAAATAGGTAGGAAAGGTACCTAAATGAAATAACGAAATTTCAATAATTGAATTGATTTTTAACTACTTATAAGTACTTAATTCGTAATCTTTAATATTGCTTCATTATTTATAGTTAGAAGTAAACTATAAACACACAGATTGACGCATATTATTTTGTGGCATGATTGTGCCACCGACATATACTTCATAGGAAGATAATATTATAATAATAATATACGATCCTACAATTTTATTTTATTTTTTTGTTAATCACATATCATACTGCTTCTATTAATTATTGTGTAGTTATAGCCTATAGGCGACCGCGACGTGTCAAACAACTAATTACAACTAGTTTGCAGTTTGCAATTCACAACAAATAACAATACAACACATTGCAGTACCTACGTCGTAGCCATTAAGGGGATTCGATCCGGTGATTTAATAAGGGGTCGTGTATAGGCAATTCGATGTATTATAATCGTTTCGCAGTGTGTTTGTGTGCGAAATAAATGATCATTAGTGTGCGTAGATATACGTTCGGAATCAGTGGTTCGCACCCGCATGCACATGTCACATAATAAAATATTTGTTCCAACGAGAAACTAATTTCAATCAATTGAGACCTAAAAGCCTGACAAAAATACGATAACTTAGAATGATCGGATTTTAGTTCTGTAAACATATTTGAATTCATCGTTCTTTTTTCTAGGTTATTGTGGGAGTCGATTTTTGAATAACTGTTTAACTTTTTAAAGAAAGACACAAACAATTTTCAAAAAATTGAGAAATCGAAGTATGATTTAACGTGAATTCTAAAAAAAATATCGAAAATTGATTCCCACAATAACCTAGGAAAATTGTCAATGAACTCGAATCTTTTTACAGAATTGAAATCTGATAATTCTAAGTAGGCGTATTTTTGTCAGGCTTTTAGGTCTAAATCATGAAATAAATACGCTGGATCGAATCCCCTTAAGATAATTTAATGACGTTTTATTTTTTTGTACCTTCAGATAATCACATACCTGCTGTGCAGCAACATCGCTCTGTGGCTGTTCGATTCGTTTATTACGCAAAGTTGGATTAGTCAAGAACGACAACTGCGTTTCATGGGTTTACTGTCCTGGGGATTACTGTCCAGGATATCATTGCCACTAGTAGTTTTCTACAGGTTCCATTCGGGAGTGCTTTTGTTACAAATCTGGCAAAAATCATATAGATGAACCACTTTACTAATTATAGTTCAGTCGTTCGGTGAGACGAACACGCACGGCCGGAGGAAATTTTGTATAATTTTGTTTTTTATGATGTGCAATATTAGATTTATTTTTTTACTATTATTATTTATTGTCGTTGGAATAAACCAACGGTGTTTTTATAATTTCTTGAAAACACTTGATTTTCTTATTTATTTTTTTTTTCGAACAATATTGTAATGATATCGCTTAATGCTTATAACTTATAAGTAGTCTGATAGTACATGTACCCGGAAGTTACAACAGTACCTTTTAGGGTCACACGGCTCTTCTGATTTTGAAAACTATTTTAAAGGCTCTCATACGAATAATGATAATAATAAAATATTTAAATTTACAATATCGAGCCCTATTAGTTAAAAGGGCGTAAGCAACCATTTTGGCAAAAATGAGATATTGGTATCAAAATTTTTCTAAAATTCAGACTCATTGATCTGTAAAATGGCTAAGCGACAATATAAACCTAAGTATGTCATTTTGCCATTTAAAGATTGGGCAAAAGCGACATGTCGTTTAAATAACTTCAAAATTGATCGTAAGTCACATTAATTTCGAAAAAAATACGTAAGCGACTTTGTTGCATGGAGTAGTGTGAGCTCCATGCACTAATCAACACGACAAAATGTTTGTTGTAAGCGCCGAAAGTAAAAAGTGTAAGCACCATTGAGCTATATTCGAACATTTATTTTATTGTAAGCGCCATAAGTTACACAATATTAAAAATATCATTTTTATTCTGTAATTGTATTTTCGAAATATTTTTTTTATAACTACACATCTGATTTTCATGAAAATCCATCAGATATTCGATTTTAAAAGTGTTTTTTTTTAGTTCCTGTAAAAAAATGAAAATGTCGCTTAAGCCCTTTTACCTAATAGGACTCGATATGTTTTAATGCAGACGAGGCTCCCTTGATAACCGACTTCACGTCTGGGAGCCTCGGCGCACAGGATAACTCCTACCCTAGGACTAGTGATGGGCAAATACCCGGTAAATATAACTACAGGTAAATTGCGTACATTAATTGTTTATGCTAAAACCAATCCATGGATATCACAATATACTTTTTTTATGATTGTTTCCTGACTTTTCCAATAAAATAATAAAAACGATTATGTTTGACAATAACTATATCTATCCATTGCAATAAACTTAATGATTTATTTTAAAGTTTCATTAAAATTTAACTAAAATTTCTAAAAAATTACCCAAATTTTTGGTTAAATACCCAAAATATTACCCACGGTACATCACTACCTAGGACATTAAATTAAGGAGCCCCGGTGCCAGTTTTTCAAATTTCCGCAATTCTGTAGAATTTGAAAATTAATTTTTATATTTTAGTTGCTACCTTAATTATAATACTTTTACAGTTTTACACTAATCTACTACCCGGTACCTATTTAAGGAGTTGACAGGGTGTATTATATAGAGAAATATTACTTCTCGGAAGTAATTCTCAGGCTTTGTACAATAGTCAGATTTTGATCACTATATTTTTATCTGAAAAATGAAGACTTCCACATGCCACATCGAACTCCGATTTTTTATTTTATTTCAAATTATAGTATAGTATAATTTATAAAAAAAACACTTAAATTGTACTATTTTTAAAGACATATTATAAAGTTTGAGATTAAAATATTGAAAAAAGGAGTTTGATGAGGCCTGTAGAATATTACCCTTTATTAGTTAAAAAAAATTATCAAATTTGGTTAATTTTACAGAACAGGATCATTATTCCCGTAGAGCGTATTTTTGTGTACAAAATTACATTGACACTGAAAGCAATGCTGGGATTTCAAGAATACTGCTCATTTATCATTTGATTTAATAATATTATAGCTGGTGTTATTTTTATATCAAATACAGATATTTCCTGAAATCAATAATTGATGGTTCATGTTTTTAAAAAATGTAACAAACGTTTTTCTTCAATCTCACTTTGTATTTAAATAAAACAAACTAATATAAAAATGTTACGTTACGCGTGAAAATTACATTTTGAAAGGTCTACATTATTGTATAGATATGAAAAGAAGGTACTACTTAAGTTGTTTGACATTTCAAATGTGTTGGTATAATGAACATTAGCATGTTTCTGTTGCATAACAAGAAAAATATAATAAAATTTTACTTACAAAACATCAGTAACATTACTTAAGTAACATTTAAAAAAATAAAATTTGTCTTTGTTACAACTAACTATCAATATTTAACAATAATAAATTATCTATACAAATAGACTCAAATAAGTTTTATATGACATTAAAAAAAATGTCTTACAAAGTCTTACAAAACTTAAAACATTTCATCAACAATAATTTATAAACTTAACTCAACTATGAAGATAACAAAGCTACATTGATTTCTTTTACCATTTTAACTCGATTGAGCATTTTTTCAAGTGATTCTTTATTTAATGCACAAGTTGAATACCATACAGGGCTATCGGGTACACAAGATCTTTCAGGAGTGAGGTAAAACAAATCATTTCTTGTTTTAACACTTTCTGGGCTGTAAAAAATAAATCATGTGTGTAAATATATTTTATAAAACTAACAAATTCAAAATGTTCGTTAAATTGGAAATAAAATAATAACCATTTTGATAAGTAGAATTCATACAGCTTTACAGGACATCTCAATGAATTTTCTTCATTCTCATGCTGCTCATACACTTTTTTCTTTCGAGAATTTGGTGAGTCTATAAAACAATAAAAAAAAAATGAATATTTTTATTTGGTATATTAATATTGAACATTATTTAATACATACCAATGGATGCCTGTGGAGGATAAAAACGCAGTAATACATTTCTGTACGTTCCTGGTGCTTTAACTCCAGATGTTGATGGCTGGTTAGGATTTCTTTTCCAATGCTTCATAATATGTGAAAATGATAGTTGCATATGTTCTTCAACACTCTAAATAGTAATAAACACAATATTTTAAACAAAAATAAAAACTATAGAATACTTACTAGTTACTATACTATACTTACTGTCAAATTAAAATGTTTGGTATTGAAAAATATCAATGTGCATAACAATACGTAAGGAGAATGTGCCCCGAGCTGTTTACTCTCCCAAAGATACTCTTCTTCAACTCGTGTAACAATATACTCTATAATCAAATTGTTATTATAACACATACATTATGTTCAATAAAGAAAGTGTATTACTTGTATCATTATAGAGTTCAGTGAATCTTTTAGCTATTTCATTTAAAGTATCGGTAAATTTTTCAAAAGACATGTCAGTAAATATATTATCTATTCGTCCATTTTCGAATAAATATTGCTGAACGCCTAAACACAGATAATAAATTGTGTCTGGCGCGTATTCGCTTCCATTTGGTTTGCGTACCTCTTTCACAAACAAGCACAAACAATAATTTAATTCATTAGCTGTTAACTGCAGGAGGTCCAACTTAAATATATTTGTCTTTTTCACGCCACACACATAACTAGATAATGTTTTCTCGAATTCTATACTTTTTGTGCAAGCCCACTGTTTCCAGGCATTAACTCCTAATGTATACTTGAGACACATATTTGCATCAGGTTTAACTACAGTCATCGGAATGGTGTATATAGGATTTTGTACAACTTGTTGTATTAATCCTGCTGGGATGCATTGTGCCTGAGGATATTCAGTTTTACGAGACCGTTTTGAATTTGAGTTACGCTGAGACTGTGAACGAGGTGCACGTTTTCTTGGAGGTCGACATAACATATCTTGAGGGGAAGATATCATATTTTCTTGGGTTATATCTTTAAAAAGTATAAATGTTTTACTTTAAAATAACATTTTTTTTAGTAGCTTTTGGTTTTGAAACTTACTCTCCATTGGATCAGGTGTTTGAGGCATAATTGTAGAAGAAACTAAGTTTGCTTCAACATCATCAATAATTTGATTTCTTTGATCATTAGATATCTCATCAGCCCCTTCAAGACTTTCTGTATCTGCTCCGGCCATATTCAAGGCTATTGCGAGAACATCATCTCCAAAAGAATTGATGTTACGAGCACTTGATGAAACAACTTTTGTGTCATCATTGTATTCTAAATAAATATTGTTTGCATTAAAAAATAAAATTTCCAAAGATATATAATTTTGTTACCATTATTTGATACGTCATTTTCACTATCTGACGATGAAACAGTTTCAGGTTTTAGATCGTTAGCTACCATGTTAGCCATTAACAACAGTTCTGCTTCAAATGGATCAGCTGGCGTTTCTTCTCTAATTTTCTTTAAATCAAATATTAATATTAGTTTATTAAATCTAGAGCTTTTAACTAGGTTTTGGAAATAGAATTATTATAACCATACTAGATCATACTATACTCTACTCTGAATAAGAGCTATACTGGGCAGCCAACTTATGCTCATGGGCGTGGCTTCATCCAAATCTGAACTGGGTGGTTGACTTGGTGGGAGAAGTATCTGACCACTGCCAGACGAAAACCGGTCACCGCCCAGTATCTCTTTTATTCTGAATAGAGTATAGAAACCACCCTCATCATTTAAGATGAAACATTTTTTCTGCGGTAAAATGTCTTCACTCACGGAAAAAAATCACATATTATTGAAAAACTAGTTAATTTATCGGAAAACTCAAAATCTAAAACCAAGATTTTCCCTGATTGGATATTAACCGATTTTTAGCTTTAATTTCAATGAGATCAATTATTTTAAATTACCTTTATATCCTTCAATATTGCTTTAGTAGTATTTTTAGTTGTAGGAATAAAAATTGGAATAGGTAAAGGTATTGGAAATGGCACTGGTACTGGATATGGCATTACATACATATGCATAGGCATTGGAATGTAAACTGGCACTGGAATCGGTATTATCACTGATTTACTACCAGTTTGATCTAAAAATAAATTACACATATCAATTGAAATGTTGATTTGATATAAATTTCAGAAAATCCTACCTGTTTGTACTTCTTTATCAACTTTAGATACCGCATTTTTGTGACTTATTTTTCTACCAACTTTTTTTTTCACTTTAAAAGTTTTTTGTTGAGAATTATGTACTCCATCACTCTAGAAAACAACAATATGTGTAGACAAATTTAATTTTTATAAATAACTACTTATAAAGAGATATGAATAATATTAATAATTTGCATTTACATCAACATTATTATCTTCTTTACGTGCAGACTGCCGAGTAGATATTCGTGAAGCTGAAGATTTTTTTCCTAGTTACAATTGCATACAATTTAATATTAAAAACTTGAGTAATTGATTATTTTAGTAATTATATATATACAAAAAGTAACAGAAAATGCTGACAAATATAAATATCTACTGTGTAATAATTTTTGTTCTAATATTATAGGTTTCAAATCCAATACGACTAGATTATAGTGCTCCGGGAGGCGGTTTTATTGTCATGGTTACTCATAATAGAGCGTGAATAAGGCAGGAAATTTAAAATGATTACATTCTTATTTTCCCGCCTAATTTACAAACCATTGGTTTGAGTATAAATCATCACCAGAAGCGCTTTGATCGAGTCGCATTTGATTTGAATCCCACGAAACTATTTTAACAATTATTAAATCATAATTTATGTAAGAGTAAATTAAAAATAACATTTTGTTAAATTGGCAAGAATAAATATTATTACATCCGTCTGTTATTCCCTGTATAATGTATATAAAAATATAGGTATATTTATTTAAATATCAATAGTTAAGTATTATAATATTATTTATACTTAATATATAATTATACAAACCATTTTTAGATTTAGACTTGGGTTTTTGTTTTTTTTCCGGTTGAAATGAATTTAAACATTTTTGGCTACAGAAGTTGTAGATTGTTCCAACATGAGTCGTATTAAAATGTGCAAGACATAAAAGCCCACAATGATCACAAACCCTAGGAAAAAATCATTAGGAAAATATAAATCAATGATAATATATTAATAATAGTTAATTGAATTTATAATACTGTTTAAATTTTGCTGCTGCTAATTGTTTTTGTTGATCAATGCAACTTGTTGAACACATATATGTAGGACTATTAGAAGATACATTTTTGGTAGAAATCATATCAATGTTAAACTTTTTAACCTAGAAGAACATAGTTATGCAAATGTTTTATTATTTATAGTATACACTTGATGATTCAACAATAATGCTTGACTTCATTTTAAAAATTTAACTACAAATTTATATACAATTTGAATGAATAGTTTCTGAAATATTACATAATATACTGAGGATAATATATCAAAATAAGTTAAGAATAATAAAAGAATATTAAAATAGTTTAAAAGAAGAAAGTTAACAGTTCATATGTTCAAAATGTATTTGTGTTCAACAACTTGAAATAATTAATTAAAACATTAAACAATTATTGTATCATATAATATTGTGATTAAATGTTATCGATGAATAACTCCCATAACAAACCTAACATTTGAATCAATCGTTTGAGGAAAACAGATTTATCCCAAAACCCAAACTATCGGAGAAATTAAAATAACTTAATTTAATCAAAAAAATTAATAATTGCCTGATTATATTTTATAGCAACAAAGAAAAGTAAAATTTCAGAAAATAATTCATGCAATTAAAATACACTTACTTTGCATAATGAACAAGAAACAGTTCTCTTTTTTGATACAATGAATTTATTTAAACATTCATTTGAACAAAACTTAAATAAACTATTTGTATTACTTAATATTTGAAACTCATTTGTGGGTGAAGAATTTAATTTACAGAAACACACATTGCATATATCTGCAAACAAATATTTATACAGGTATTAAATTATGTAAAATATATTAAGGTACAAAAAATATAAAAACTAATATGAGTTAGTATAATATGTTTTAATGTGGACTTACCAATGACTTGAGTTTTATCATTTGAACCATAATCCACAACAGAACTATCTGGTTCAGTGTGTTTTCTTCTTGATTCATAATCTTTAGTTTGACAAAATGATGAACAGAAATCCTAAAAAATATTTATTAAATATTAAAGAATATTATAATAATAACACAATTATAATTTATATTATTTCAATAATTACTTCAAAATCACAATCAATTAAATCCTTTTGACAAAAACCGCACAAACTTAACCTATTTTCATAACTTTCAGTGCAATAAGCCCCACAAAACTCTAATAGTTTACCAGAAATATATCGACAATATTGTTGTAATTCAACATCTGAGGTTATAACATTTTGACAGTTTTTACAATGTGAATCAAAAACTGTTTTTTGATAGTCTCCTAAATAATATAACATATATCATAATAAAATATTAAATTACAATCAACCGATTTTCTATAAATTATAATATATAAACACTACTTACTTAAGCAATTTACTGAACAAAAATGTTTTGTTTGCCAATAGTAACTCTTATCTTCGTTTTCTAAGATAACTGATTGACAACACTGGCATTTTTTTTCAAAGTCGCACTGACTATTTTTCTTACGGTAGTTTTCTACACACTCTTCTTGGCACAAATAGATAGACTTATGGTCATTTACAGTAAATTTACATAAACGAAACTGTAAATTTAATAATTTTAATGATATGTGGTAAATAATGTGTACAAGAAATAATTGTAAATAAATATTCAATACCCTGTTACATTGGCAGCACACTTTTTTTAATGGAGATGATAACTCTTCAACTGTATCTATAATTTTGTCATCAATACTTTCAATAGGTTTGATTATTTCCTTAGCTATTTCCTATAACCCAAATCAAATACTAGCATAATACAGTGTTTTTTAAATTGTATTAATGTATAATAACTTTTAAGGGATGTTACACCAGCTTTTGATATCTCCACGCTCAGCAGTTTACGTTTAGCTTTGTTAGTTTAAAATTTGAATGAATCATCCTATTATGTAACCTAATGGTAAGTTTGTCATCTATATTTGTGTGTCAGTATTTTACAAAAATTCAGTTTTTAAGCAAGTTTTGAGAATTATTAAATTGTGATAATTAATTACGTAAAACTCGCTAAAAAAATTATTCTAAAAAACTGACATACAAATACTGATAATGTTCTTACCGTTAAGTTTCATAATATTACCATTTTTTCTAATTTATAAACTAACGAAGCCAAGCGTTAACTGTTGAGCTTAAATGTGCTATGTTACGCACTTGTAAGACGGATACAACAACTACTGTTGTAGCTTCTTCTTAATCAATATAATATTAGTTTTGAATGTATTTACTCTGATTTGATTTTCTGCTTTTTTTGCAGCTTGACGTTGTGGTCTAGAACTTGTTTTCAAAAGTGAATCACTCAAGTCATTTTGTAGTTGATGTTTTTGGTGTATTTCAGAATTTAATACCATATTATTTTGATTCAGACATTCTTCATTTATAATTTTATCTTCACCACTATATTCATTGGAATCATTGTTTCTAATGGATGTTAAAACATCAATTGTTGGTGGGTCTATAAAAATAATATAGTTTAAAAAAATTTAAAATAATTAATTTGATGGATCAATAATTATAAATTGAAATTTATACCTGTAATATCTTGGGCAACTATTTGGTCAGCTTGGTCAATATTAATTTCAATTTTACTGTTTGATTCCATAATTTTGTTTTCAACTTTAGGAACGGACATAGCAGGCTCGTCATTATCCAAGCATTCAGTTACACCTGTATCAATTTGATCAATTTTGTTTTCACTGTCAATAACCAATAGCTTTTCATTGGTGTGTTTTTCATCAACCTTTATTTCTAAATCTTCATTACTTATATCATGTTCTGTGGTCATTATCAAGCTGTTAATTACTTCACTACTACTACCGATTGGTTCATTAATGTCTACTGTGTTGATTGCACATTTGTCAGGAGTTACATCTTCCGTGTGTTCCTTGTCAGTTGTATCGCTATGAATTAATTCAAGCGACTCATCAAATGGGATTATTACTTCGTTCTTTTCCGATGCTGTCGCCGATGAAGCGGCTTCTGCATTTAAATCATCAGCCATCCTCTACCTACAGCTTTTGACTTTGATCACGGTAATAGAGTAAAGAATTAAGAAAACTCCATTTATTGATTATAAGACCAAAATATATCAACATATAAATATTTTAAAATGTTTTTTCACGTTATAAACTTCTAACAGAATTGAGAATTTGATTCGATTTTATTAAACACTAAAAACGCAAATTTCTTATCTTTATGTCTTTATGAAGGATAGCCTGCCGTGTCTCCGTCATAGAACAATCATAGATTATTTATTATCTATATCTGTGGTTATATGATAGTAGCATAGATAATATTACATGTTTATTATCAGGCAGCTCTTATACCACTGATAAACAATTGGTTGATACCGCCTATATTAAGTTGCATTTACTAGAATTATAAGGGACAATTTAGCCATGATGAAGTCAGTCGTCAGTTGGTTATAAAATAAATTACTCAGCAGCCAATCAACTTGCGGATAGGTAGTATAAATTCTTACCTTTTTTTTTTTTTATTATTTTATCCCTAATCGAACTAAGTAACTATTTAATAATGTTCTATAACTGACTTCATAATATAGGTACTATCTCATAATTTAAATACTAAGTAGAGGTATTGATACACCTTGGGTATTATTTATAATTTATTACCAATTTACTTAAAGACTATTGACCAATGATATATGTATTATATTATAACTATCTAATAATGATGATTGTGCATATCATTACCAGTGCTATGAATTTCATCATTGAATATCAATGGATTTGACGTAAAAAAGGTGTTCTGCTGTACTGTAGGTTAGGTACAAGCACAGAAAATAGATTACAAGTGGGTCACTGTATAATGGATGGTATTAAATTTGAATTCAATGATATAAATATATAATATCATTGTATAAGAAAAACGATTTTGATGGGGAGATGGTATGTCAGTCTAGGTATAAGACATATTATATACATATCTATGGTATTAAAAAAAAATTGACCTATAATAAATTCAAAATTAATCATATCCATTAGGTACTTATAACGAGTTATACATCAACAACAAACCCTGATACTATCATAGTCCATAGATATATAATAGTGTACTTTAGAAGTTTCAAGTACCCACGAATAATATTAAGCAGCCACAACGAAATAACTAAAATAGTTATTCTAGGTATTTTTATGTAATTTCATCCAAATTTGAACTTAAAATGACTATAAAAATAAACTGTGCTAATGTATTTTTTAGATTTTTGGTAACAGAATTTAGCGGAATCTTGTTTTAAATCTTCAATTCTTAGATATACAAGTTGAACATTTTAGAAATTTTTAACTACAAAATAATTATTCAATTTTAAATTTGATAAATTTTGCCAAAATTCGATCCGTAAATGCTTATAAAAAAAAATTGTGCCGATATATTTTTAATATTTTTCAACTGCTATTGTAACAATATATCAGGAGCCTTGTATTAAATTTCTACACTTTTTGGCCCAACAGATAAAACTTTATTAATATTCATACAATAAAAAATAAAAAAATTGAAATATGAAATTATCCGTAAACAGCTCAAAACAAGTCAAAATATTTTGAAATTTTTGTCTAGTATAAGAATTGATTAACTGATAATTCAGTGACATTTTCAAGTATCTACAGTCATTCGTTTTTTAATTCCAACAAAATAAGAAAATCGTTACAAGAGAAATCTATTGAATATCAAATGTTGTAAAAATATAAATTTCAAACGCTCATAAAAATTTAATTTGACTTTCTTGTAGACATTTTTTTTTTTTGATAAAGGTAAACAAATGTATGATGAATTTTGTATTACATTTTCAAATATTAGATTTAAAAATAAAATTTTTTATGAATTTCTAACTCAAAATAATTTGGAAATTTTAGTCATTTTTACGAATTTTATCAATATTTGAACTTCAAATGTTTATATAATGTTTATAAATATTTATTAAATTTTTAAGCTTTTGTACTTAAGGGGCCTGGTCGCGACCTCTTTTTTTGCTCAAAAACATGCCTTACAGGAAAAACTCTCACGCCTTGTAGATTGGTCCGATTTCCGTAATTTTTTTTTTGTTAAATAGAGGAAGACGTATTGCAGGGCGCATTGGACTTGGATTTTCAAAATTATTTTTCGAAATCTTATATTACAAGTTTGAATTTAATCCATTTTTACAACTTTTTAGTTTTTGTATTATTATTTATTTTTAGCAACGTAATAAAAATCAAAGTCCAATGCGCCCTGTAAAAAATATTCTTCTATCTAACAAAAAAAAAATTACGGAAATCGGACCAATCTACGAGGTGTGAGAGTTTTTCCTGTAAACTGTGTTTTGACCGATATAATACACCCTATCAACCCCCCCCCCCCACCCCTAAATAGGTATTGGGTAGTAGATTAGTGGAAAAGTCTTATAATTGAGGTGGCAACTAAAATATAAAATTTAATTTTATAGAATTGCGGAAAATTTGAAAAATCGCGACCAGGCCCCTTAACAAATAAAATTTTATTGATATTTATAGAAAAAAAAACTAAAAAAAATGGAAACTGAAAATGTCTGTAAAGACCTCAAAATATTTGGAAAGTGTTATCGTGTATAGAAAATGCTTATATAAATATTCAGACAAAATTTCATGTATCTACGGTCATTTGTTTAAGAGTTGCACCAAAAACCAAAATCGATTTTTTGGAAAACCAAAACCGATTTTGCGTAAGAATTCTCGTTTTTCCTTAATTTTTATGTTGTTTTTCCCGGCGCTTGTGAAAACTACTGTTAAATTTTTACTTTTTACCCCCCAAAGTACCAACTAGATTCACTTTCCTATCAGAAAAGATACTGTTGAAGAAAATCCAAGAACTTTTACTGTCCTAAAAGGTGACGACAGACACAAAAATAAAAAAAAATAAAAAAAACCACACATTATTGTAAAATCAATACATTCATCGTCCCACTCAGAATCTAAAAATAAATACTTTCTTAGTATATCCCTTCTAACTTTAACATATTATAAATCATTAGGATTTTGACATTATAGTTTTTCTATATTGTTTTTCTCATTATTACATATTTTATACTTAAACTATCACAACTACAATTCTAAAAAAAAAAACGGGTAAGTGGATGTCGCTCTGCTGTACAGTTGGTTACAAGTGGGTCATTGTATAATGGATTGTATAATGTATTAAACTTTAATTCAATGATATAATATCATTGTATAAGAAAAAACATTCTGAGCGGAGACGGTTTATCAGTCTGGATTTTTTAAAGTTTTATTATTTATTATAGCCTTTTAATTGAATTAATATTATAATATTATTATTTCTTATTCGTTTCTATGGTGATAAGCAAAACGTTAGAAATTAAAATCCTATTTTTAGCGGTTTTTCATAATTTGTCTGTGGTTTTTCCCTTGGCATTAAATAAATATTGATAAAATCGAAAAATTGTTGGAAGCTTGTCATAAGTATTGGAAAAATAAATCCTCAAGAAAATGTGAATCCTAATTAATTACAACTGACTGAGTAAGTAGACTGAAACTAAATAAATCTTGATTTTTATTAAGTACATATAGACTGTGACTCTGTAACAAAATTAAAAATACTATCAAGGGTCATTCATTGTGTACATGAATTCACAATGCCGTTATTACTCTAAAGGCACGTGGGGCACGAGCCCCAGGGCCGGGGGTAAATGGGGCCCCTCCGAATTTTAGATTGTTTTATTAGCGTGTATAATCGTCGTTGATGTATTTGACGAAATTGCTTTAGAGCAAATTAGTACACAATGTTTGATATTTATTATTATTATTATTATTACAACTAGATTCTGCCTTTGTATTTTTAAATACAATTAAACTAGTATATGTTAATGTTTGAATTTGAAAAGAATAAAGAGGAGGCCTTCAAAACATTGAATTTCAAACAATTGAACGTCAAAATCTTGAACGTCAAAATATTGAACGATAAAATCATGAACATAAATTTATGTCAAAATCTTGAACATTCAAAAACTTGAACATCAAAACCTTGAACGTCGAAATCTTGAACAAAAAAATAGTTTTCGTCAAACCTTTGGTACGTCAAAATCTTGAACAAAAAAGTAGTTTCCATCAAAGCTCTGAACGTCAAAATCTTGAACAAAAAAATTGTTACCGTCAAAACCTTTAACACAAAAATTGTTTCGGTCAAAACCTTGGTCATTAATACTTTTTATCGCAATTTGTTTTTCTCGTGCTGTTCTAGATATCACATTAATTTTAATTGTAAAATATTATATTTGCAATATTGGAAATTAAATACTATTCCTTGTAAATATTCATTGGTTGTTTTATTTTTATAATCAAAGCCAATATTTTACAAACGCTCTACTTTGTCTAACTATTTTCACTGGACTTTTCCGTCAACACGCCGGTTAAAAACTCCACCTTATCCACTGTACTGTACAATTTTTCCAATTCGGTTGCGGTTTCGATGTTTCCGGTGAGATCGAAAAAGCTGTTGTAAGCACGCAGCCCTAACCGTCTTCTATAGTTATTGAAACTCTGCAAACATTGTTCCCTCGATAGTTTCATAAGTGCTTTGGTAAACTGTCCAGTCAAGGGGCCGTCATCGTGGGCCGTGACAATGCTCATCTTTGAACTCATCATTAATTGCAGGGAGTCTTTTAAATCAGCTTCCGAATCTTCACTAAAAGTATAGTAAAATCGAATCCTATATAAGTATAAAATAATATAATAATATGTGAATGTCGTTGAAATCGCTTATTTTTCTAAAACTAAAATTCTCCGGGGACTAGAACAGTTCCCCACATGTTTAGTTTCACTTCCCTAGCGTACCTCTATAGTTTCTGGTATGGAGGAAAACATTACCGACAAATAATGACGAGTGATGACAATATAGAATAATGTTATTGTGACCATGTCTGAGAATTTATGTTATATATCTAGCAAATGCATTACACTTTCCACTAGGTACTCGATAAAGGTCGAACCACTTACTGTGCGGTTATGCCTA